TGGCGTGAAACAACGCTTGCATTGTGTTTTGCTGTGTGAGTGAGGTCACCGAAGGTTAAATTCTTGATCCCTCAACTTCAATCCTCAATACCCTAAAACCCTCAAAAGTCTGGTAAAGTACTAATATGAAGTTCTTTATTTAATTTTCTATCAACAATATTTTCAATCATTGGCGTAGTGTTATAGTGGCGTAGTGATATAGCGGCGTAGTGGCATAATGGCGTAGCGGTGACGTCTCGCGCAACACCGCGGTACGTCGCGTGTTGCTGACGTGTCATTACTGGCTTTGTGTTTAACACTGGCTTGCCTTAGTTCTTGTCCTTTAGGAATATTTCGTCGCCTTCTCACTTTGTGATGTAATTACAAAAGGATTCTGTGTTCAATTTTATTTTAATAAATTGCTAAAGGATACATACACTTCAGCTTGTTTATGTAGAAAATCACACATAATTGCGTTAATCTCATAGATGCCATGTAAGCAAGTCCGACGAGGACCTAAAAAGAGGACATTGGCTCAATATATTTTTTTTTTGTACATCCACACTTTGTGGACTGTAGCTAGCTAGGTAATTAAATAACCTGTAGATGACAAGGTCAAGAAAACATGGCGTATTTTTATAAAACAAAATTATAAGCCACGCTCAAGGAGACTTCTTAAAATTGTAATTTTTAACATTAATCCTAAGAAACGTAATTTGTTATAATTAAAAGATGGTACTGTCGCGTCCACAAAGGGAAATGTTTATAAATGTATAAAGGAACAAATTATCTTTTTGCCTTTTTGTCCTTGAATGTTTAGACAAACAATTGCTTTGTGTGTTTGTTATTTGGAAGTCTGTGATATAAAGAAAATATTATGCAAAGTATTAGCGTAGCGAGTTATTTTGTTTAGAAAAATCAACAGGAACATTTTACGTTGCTGTACACAATTTTTCTTGCATGTAAGAGTAGTGTAGATATCATAGACCTACATACCTTACATTACAAGAAGGATTTAAAGACCAGAGAAAATAAACAGCATGAAATGCCTCTCAGTTAACTGCTTGGAAATTAAATCTTACATCAAATTACATTTGATACATTTTCCTTTGCATGAATTAAATTCGAGGTAAAATAGAGGGCTTTATTTAAATAAATTCTCAAAAGAGTGAACAGGAACAGACCAGGTACAGCGAATTAAAGACACAACTTAACAGAAGAAATAATCTACTCCTCCCATTTAATTGAAACTCATATAGAAACTTGCCATTGCAAAACCGTCTCTAATCCTTAAACGTAAAGTCTTCGCTTTGGAAATCTGGGCATTTAAAGACAATCTGCACTTCTACAGAACGATCAGTGAAATTACCTTCGGAGACAGTAAAAAGTGATTTTACGAGAGCTTAGGCACCTCGGTATCCTTCGATCTGCAATAAAATCGCACCACGCACTGTACATTGACTTGTATCTGCTGTTGACATTGCAATAAACGCGTGGGTTGCGCGCAATGAATGCAAAACTAAATGAACAATTTATTTCGATTGCAATGTCCACTTGAAAAGATTACTTTTTTAGACGTTTTATATTGATATTGTTGAGATTGAAGACATTTTATTAAGGGAAGTAAACTAAAGAGATTTACTCAATTTAACTGTTGATTGTACCTCGTTGGGTGAATGTTGGCAAGAGTAACATTCATGTTCGCGGCCTCTGGTTCGATCTGCGAGTATCATTCGTCAATAGAATATTTTCCAAATTTAAAAATGTTTGTTACGATATTTATTTGTTAAATATTACATGTAAATTTATTAGATTATTTTACTTACTTTTGACTGCACTGTTGGTGCTGGTGGCTGGGCAACTGGCTGCCGTGCAACGCGTCGCTGGTTCGATCCCCGCACGGAACAACTCTTTGTGTGACCCACAAAGTGTTGTTCCGGGTCTGGGTGTCATGTGCACGTGAAATTGTATGTTTGCTACCGCATCCACGACACAGGAGCAAATTCTAGTGCGGGGGCAACGTATTAAAAAAAAAGATACAATTAATTTTCTTATTCCTGCCACTTAATTCTGATCCAACAGACAAACTGTGTGTACAGTTTTGTTGGACATTTTATACTTTTTATAATGTAAAATGTACCTTTTAAGCCATAATAAATAAATAATAATTTTTAACAAGTAAGTGGGTGGTATTCGACGCACAAATAAAACGTGATTTGATACCGCTGTCAGTACTGACAGTTCAAAATCAGTATTGCATTTTATATTAATAAATAATAACTATCGAGATACACACTAAATTAAAAATACGCCTACTCACGGGAATTTACTGAGAAAAAATTTACTAAGCGTGCTGCCTGACGAATAAGAGTCCTGTTGTGATTTTAAACTAGTAGAGATTTTTTCAAATAGTTCCCGTGATTGAGTTGTTATGATCAATTAATTTAGTATTGAATTTGACCAGCTTATAGGTAACAAATAAAATTGTTGTCTTATCAAAATGTTTGGTTGTATCTCGGAATATGAAACTGTTACCTATTATTTTGGTTCTACGGGATACATGTATTACTAGCGCAACTTAAGTTTCGTCTACGATCGCGCGTGGTACATCGCGCGTCCTGCAATCGTTGTACATTGCAGCATATAACCGCGTCATTATTCACGCTAAAACAAACATAGTAAGCAATGTATGACGAACCGCATGACGGACCGTGTCTTAGGAAATGAGACCTTATTGCCTATTATCGTGAAAAGGAATTACCTTAAACTTTCTGTTATAATTATTAATTACAATGAAAAAGGTAATAATACATATAGGTATGTGCATAGTACAGCGTATATAGCCGAAATGAGCTTTATCGAATTAATATGAAATTCTTTGAAATAAATTCGAGCGAGCGCTTTTAATTTTAATCAGTTTATTTACTTTACGTAGCTATACATAATACACTTATTTTTATTTCAATTTTAGTTGATATTATTAATACATTTTCCATTAATATCACACAATATAAATATAATACCGATTTTGATGAAGTTCGGAGAGTTAATTAAAAACGGATTATAAAGTTCCAATACTATATTTAATTATTTTATAAATACTTTTGTGCCTTGTGGGTTCAGTGGTTGCAAAAATGATTGTATCGGGTAACGAGTCCTGTTTTGATCCAGCCTATAAGTGCCCACTGTGTGAGCTTAAGCTCCTTCTCGTGGGAAAAAGAAATTAGCAAAAATCACCACACCTATTCAAAGTGGATTGGCGATTGCAAACTCACAATAAGAAATTAAATCCAAATTTGTTCACGATGTTTTCCTTCAGTGTGATCAGAGATGTCTCTGATTATGTATAATAGGAGAAAGTACACATAGCTCGGTAAAAGTCACAGTGGTAGGTAGTTGCCAGGTTTCGAATCCCTCCAACATGAGAAGTATGCCTTTAACCTTCATGCCACCACGACTTTATTTATCAGGCTACGTTAAATAATATATAATTCCATTTTAATGTATTATGAACAATAATAAATTGTGAATTTTACAAAAAGTTGTTTCCTTATCCTTAATCAATGAGAGAATCAGGTTGTATGGCAGCAGATCGTACAGCCACTTCATCAACCGAGAAGTAATTTTTTAACTTAGAATCTTATATGTAAGTGACTAAGGCTCATACTTGATTGAGCCAATACTGACGAGTTTTCCAAATAACTGTCACAAGTGAAAATGAGACACAAATTACATACTAATAGAGTTGCTAATTCTTTAATAACGTACTCAAAATCGGCATAAAAATACAAATTAATACAAAACCGATTTAGACACATCACCTAAGTATAGGTTCCCCTACAAGGATAATATGTACTTTATTATAATGTATTAAGGTTGATTTTTGTATATCAAGAGTGTGTAACTATTTCTAGTTGCTTGTACTTGTTTAATTAACGGAGGGTTCCCCGTAGTAGGTGAATACTAACAGCCGTTTAACGATACTGACCGACTTGGGAATCAAACTGCGATACAGGAAGGCTAAGTAACGAGCCTTGTTACGTAGGTACCAACACTATTATTATTCTTATTCCCTTAAGGGGTAAGCAGACGTGTGTGTTAGTGTGGTCTTTGGTATCTGAGGTAGGATTAGTTATTTTGGGGTTAAGGGTCATATAAACAGACTCATAATTTATCTGAGAATTCTTAGATAAATATGTTTTGATTGGTCGTGAAAATAAAACATGTTTGTTGTAAACTCAGTCGTCTAGAGTCCGCTGCGTAACGTCGCCGCGACGCGCACGCTGTTCATGAACAAGAGTCCCGTCCTGACTTGAAACTAGTCGAGCTTTTATTAGTTATTTCAAGTGAGTAAGTCGTTTTTCTCAATAAATTAAGTATGTGTAATATAACATAGTTTATCACAGCGTAAAAATACGAAATAAATAAATAAATAACTATAAAAACAATAACACAAAGATTGGTTTTCCCCTGCAACGTGGGTGCGATCACAAACATATACTTATATAATTTTACACCAAAACACCAAACAACAATTATGGATTACAAAAAGACTGGCTCCGTGTGAAAATCAAACCTATGATACGTTGCACGGCAGCCGGTTGCCTAGTCACTGTGACAACGAAGAAGTCTACGTATATATCAGGGAATTTAGAAATGCCTTGCCGACTTTTTTAGGTTTTGAGATATGGAGTTGAGGATTTGAGGAAAGAGGCGTCTGGAAAACTCACTTTCACTGTAAATTTTCTTACGACCTTAACTGATTTTTTTACGTTGTATTAAGAACCAAGTATTCTGGTTCAAGCACACATTTGTGTAAGTGAGAGAAAAAATAGTTTTATTTCATTCAGTTTTTTTTTTATCACCAGTCTATAATAACGGTTTTATTATGCTTCGAACATACAAATATTGTTGTCTAATACCTGATAAGATTGTTATCAGTTGCCGCAGTGACTTCTATTTTTCAAAACTACTTCGATAATGATGAACACTTGATATATGTACATACTTAACAGTAATACACTAAATAACATTACTCTTTAATTTTAATATATTTTATTATTCATCTTCAATAATAAATACTATTTTCTAATTTAAAAATTATGTACACATACTGTTATCAACTTTATCCACTTCACTTTTAGGTATAGTTTTGTTTAACTCTGAAACTCTTAAATTAGTCATGAGTTCATCACACGAGTGTCGTGGAGTTTGTCAAACATGTTATTATCTCATACGCACGTATATATATATATATATATATACATAATACTTATTTACACTGTCGTGACCTCCACAAACGGGTCAGAGTTCCACTCAATCACAGAATAATTGCTCCAAACAAAATTACCTTTTAACGTCAAAGGCGCTTCAAAAGCCAAATACAGAATTGCTTTGGCACCATCTTCGTAGACCCTGGCTGTTTTCCTTCCTTCCTTGCTGTTAAGATTGCCAGGGTTCACACAATTAATCGTCACACCTTTACTGGCCCATTCTCTATGTTGTAGGAATGTCACAGCATTTAAAGCGACCTTGCTGACACAGTGGACGCTCATTCCCCACCCCTCTGTCTTCTCTGTGCCTCTTCTTGCAGCATCCTCGTACTCCTGCAGGATGGCCACCAGCTCATCTTCTGTCAAGTTAGAATCGCTTATCCTTCTCCTTATTTCTTCGTTTTCAATAGTAGCCAGTAGTCCAGCAGGACCTGACACATTAATGACTCTTGCGTTTTCATTCAGTATTGGATACACTAATTTACCGAAGTTGATGTATCCATAAAAATTGACGCTCAGTGTCCTCCGAACAATTTCTGTGAGTGATATCCTTTTTTCTGGAACGTAGTCTGTAGCGTTGATTATCAGGTCTATTCTTTCATCTAAGTCCTGGATGTAGTGTCTCAGCTTGATGATGCTCTTCGTGTAGGTTACGTCCATCTGTATAAAGTTCAGATCTAGGTTGTCTCTCTCCAAGTTTTTGAGGATATTGAAGCCAGTGGTTTCGTCTTCGGTGGTGAAGTAAATTTTTCCATTGTAGGTTTCTGTGAGTTTCTTGAGGACTTGGTAGCCGAGATTACTGCCGGCGCCGACGACCAGAGCCACGTCATACATGGCGCGCGATACTATATAATGTGAGGTTATCACGTTATCACGCGATCAGTTATGTACGTTATCACCTCTGACAATGTGGTTTGAGATAAAGTTACGGCTCGAGATAAGAGTGACATAGTTTTAGATGAAGATGCTGTGTGTTATTTAGCAGTTTTTGGAAAGATTTTTGCACAAACAAAATACCGTCTTCATATTTTATCAACATATATATACTGATATTTGTTTTTATGCTGTGGGTTTGTTAGAGTCAGGGACATAGTACAAAAGAAAATGCTGATGCTGTGGCAGTTCCCTTCCTTACAAAACGTATTTCTGACATTGAGGAAGTAAAATTACATTCTTAGATTTTTAATAGGTAAAACATTAATTTTGCAAACATGGGATGACTTGTAATTTTTTAATACTGTAAAGCAACATTTATAAAATGTGATACAGCTAAAGTGTTTGTTTTTTGAACACGCGGATCGTTGGAATCTGAAATCGAATTCCACTAAATCTAGATATAATTCATATACAATATTAGTTTTTGAGAGTTTTAATCATTTAATGATTCATTCTGCCCTGGGTGGTGTGCATCCGACTCTTACTGACTAAATCAATCCCGTTCCTTCTTCTGCTCCAAGCAACCCCGGCCAGGATGAGCGTGAAACTGTAAAAAGTCTTGTATATTTCAGTGTAAGAATGGAGACCTTGGCCCCACATGTGTAAGCACAACTATGTTAAACCTGGTCAGATAGCTTATCTATGAATTAAACTTAAAATAACTTTTACCGAATTAACAGGTTTCAAGTTGTATGCACATTGACGAGTAAATAATTAGCGAAGATCCATAAGGTATCGAGGGATTAATAGGTATGAAAGTATAACGGAATTTTAATTATTATGTGATTGGTCGGCAAACGTGCAGACCTTGTGGTAATTGGCGCCGCCCATGTACACCCACAACACCCGAAGAGTTACGAGCATGGCTTTTTGGGGATAAGGTTTTTGGAGATTTAGGGATTAGGGGCTGATAGAGGTAGGGGAAGGATTAGGTTTCCGGTAACCTAACTTACACAGCGAAACATAACGCTGGGTTAGTTGCACGGCGATTTTCTACGAAGCTGTGGTATTGCCCCAGTCGAGCCGACCTACTCGTGTCGAAAATTGGCTTTCCTATATTTAACATGTGTGTTTTAGGTGTAAACTTCAATTCCTACTTCGAGAAAGAACATTTTCTAACGTAGATATTAATTACACTTAAATGAGAGTACTGATATAACTGGCGTCATCACATCAATATTTAGCTGAGTTCAAGAACCAAACACATAGCATCTTGGTCCTAGTTCTCGAAGACCTGGTCGGCAGTCGGGTCAGCGGAAGAGACCAACTAAGTTAATGAATAAATTACAAAGTTTTTACAAACCACTTCCATACTTTATCTTGCCTTTAAGTAACCGTCTATAAATTTACTAGATAGGTGTAATTCGTCCAATTAAAATCCGTGTTTATTATATAAACACAAGGCGTGTTAAGATAATGCGATAAAAATATAAATTCCTCACTAATCTACGATCGTAGTAAGTGATAGTGGTATTTCGATAATTTCTTAATATCGTAGTATTAATAATCTGTTTTACAAACAACCCTTTCATAAATATATATGTTTAAGAAAAATATACCCTTATATCCCCTTTGTTCAACAACTGGTTTGATGTGTATGAGGAATGATGTTTCAATAAATTGTTCCCACCAATATATCTACTTAAGTATATAAATACAATGATACAACTACGATACATTCTTGGATAATTTACATAGAAAACATACAAAAATATTTAAGTACAAATACTTTTGTTTCTGTTTTCTTTTGTGTTTTTTGTTTTCTGTTTGAGTTGTAAAAAATATACGAAACCATCTCATAGAATATCGTTTTTGTCAATGATATTATAAGTAAAAAGGTGTAGATAGGTTACAAGCGCTCTGCAAGTGATACATTAAAATGTGGCTAACTAGCCACACTTTTTCATATTTGTCTTTTTTCACTCGCGATTATTGAACCATGCCATCCCACTTCAACGGGTATCATACGATTTATTCATGTGTGCATAAGTGTGCCGTTTTTGAAAATCGAATGTTGTTTATTAACCTATCTATACCATTTTACTTATAATACTATTGGTTTTTGTAATTTCCAAAAAGTATTGAACATGTTCAGTTGTCATTTTCCGCATTAAAGGCGTTAGTCTCATTCCTATGTAAAGTACGGTAGCGAATATCGCGTTTTATCAGCCGGCGCTATAATATAATGAATACATAGGCAATTTACAGACGATATCAAGCAGATTTTATGTAAGTGATAACGACTGATTGGGACACAAGTAAATAACGCGGTAATATATGCGGAAATGAACGTTATAGATACATATTTATAATCTTAATATGACCTTACTACTATTCATTACTGTATATACTGGGTATTAGCTTTTTATGCAGAGGTCGGCAAATGATAGACCACCACAGACGGGGCTCAATAGGGCTGATGATCAGCCGGGGTTGCGGGGTAAGCGCAATGAGGCACCGCGACCTCGGCCCAGAGCAGTAAAAGGAACGAGGGGGTTTTTAGTCAGTAAGAGTCTGACTCTCTTTCTCTCGCCTTACCCTGGGGGCGGGAGAAGTAATTTGATGATTTTCCCCTGACAAAAAAAAAGGTCGGCAAACGAGCATGTGGATTACCTGATGGCCACCCATGAACACTAGTAATAAATACCAAAGGAGTTATGAAAAGTGCGTTGCCGGTCTCATATTAGGGATTTGAGGATTGAGGATAGGGTGAAAAGGAGAGGGGAGGGGTGGGGGGAAAGATTGGGTATCCAGTTACTTTACTGATACGGCGAAATATAACCTAGTATTGCTTCTCACCGGTTTTATGTGAGGCCGTGGCATCACTCATTTTTAGCGAAGCGGCTCTCCCTTTCTTCTCCCACACTCAGTATTAGTCTTCGTGTTATTTGGATATCAAATCAAATCAAGTTTTTTATTTCAAGTTTTTTATTTCAAGACCGCAATAGGCACTTTAGTACGTCAAGCCAAAAAATTATAAAAGGTTTAACTTCATAGTTAGACTTACTTTATAGTTAGGTAGTTATATTATGTCAAAAAATGCTTTGCTGCTCCTAGAACTCCTCTTTGGCAGTGTCATCTACAACCAACACCACTACAATATCAACTTAACTGACTTTTATCAGTATATTTTTCTTATATAGAGTAACTTATGTATATAAATGTCTGTATAATATAAAAAACACAGGTATTGCAATTTTTGTATGTAATATTAAAATCTGTTTGTTTTTACAACGATTTTCAATTTATATTTTATCGTTCTTTTTTTAAAAACACAAAACAGATGTTTTTTCACTCGAATTGTATGAAAACCCTTTCCACGTAAACCGTTTTTAAACCAAATATTAACAAGAAATAGTTCTATTAACAAGATAAAAATAAACATTGCGTTCCTAACGACAGAAATTATCTTAAAGTAGTACATGAAACTACAGATAAATTTTTAAAATGTCTCGGTTTCATAATACAATGCATTGGATGTTCTCATTCATACGAATCCAGTTACATCCCTTTTCATCCCGTCTCATCCCCACTCGGGATGTGGTTCAAAGACTTCAATAAATATTTATTGGCTCTCATAAATTTGTCTCGGCCACCTCTGACTATTTCTGTATTATTTTTCAATCAGTTTCTTATATGAAAATGCTATTTTTGGTATTTATTTCAATATATCCTGTTTGTTTTTCTTCTGTGATTTAGCTAAGTTTGAAACAAAACTTGTTTTTGTTAATTACTATTTTTATCAGTGTCCCTACTCCTTCCACGTAGTTTTGTAAGAGCTTGCTAAAGCTGTTCCTTTAGTCGTAATAATGTATCGTGGGCTCGACCCGGGGTAGGAAAAGGAAAGATGTGCTTTTGCAAGTGTCTGACACTCCCTTTCGCCCCAACCAGGGCAGGAGTAGTTATTTTAAAAATCTCCTCCATCGAAAATAAAGTGAGGGACTTCATTTTCGACGAAACTAGATAACAGCGCCCTTAGATGTACCCGATCTTCTAAATTGTGGTCTCCTACTCCGTACAAGATGTGGTCTGTGGAGGTTATACCAAACTCTTTAAAAGCCCTCAAGATCCTATGGCAATGCCTGGGAATTTAATTCAGACTTTCTTTGTTTATCACAGTCAGCGTCAGTCGTTTCAATTGTGACAGTTTAAATTACAGATTCGTTATTTAAAATTTTGATTGTGTCTTAATATAGTCGTCGAAAATGTCTCATAGTCTAGTAAACGGCTGTCTAAGTCACACTCACCAATGTCAATTGACTTCATCGAATCACGAGAAAGAATTCAGCTACTATTTGTATGTATTAAATATTTAATGCAGGTAAGAGTATAATATAGGCGGACTGTAGGCATTATTAACTTAGGCATTATCTCACACCTGTCTTAAGTATATTTAAATCATTTAAAGAAAATAAATTCCATTAATATGTAGGTGACGAGGGACCCGTCACGGTTTTGCACTAGTGCAACGCCAATACTAAATTTCTGCACCACTAAATGGATATTATTATACATGTAAACACTCCTCTTCAATCACTCTCAGTTGCGGAGTTTTAAAGATATAAGCATACACACTTATTGGGAAGGAGAAAGCGACTTGTTATATACTATGTAGTGATGAATATAAATACAAATATACATCTTATATATAAAAATTTCGTTTCACGTGTTTGTCCACGATGGACTCCTAAATTACTAAACCGATTTTAAATTTGATTTGCATTCCGTATGCATTTTGATTCACCTTGAAAGATAGGATAGCTTACATCTCAATTTATAGTCACAATAGTATTTTAACAAGAACCTTTGCCACAGCAACGCGTGCCTGGGTCTGCTAGTATATAATATATTTGACTTAGTAATACTTCATCTAACTACATACCCACCCAATAAATAAAATGTATAATAATTACTATACTTGAATTATTTCCAATAGGTACATATATT